GCAGCCAATTAAAAATGCTGTGCCATATTTTACCATCTAATTTGCTGCAGCAGTCAATCTTTTTTTTCAGTGTACCACTAGCTTTAGGTATCTGGGCCTCTATTCTTGAAAAGAAACTTATACGAAAGTCTAGAGAAATACAGTATACGTTACGTATACTATAGTATTTTTCTAGAATTTCGTATACGTTTCTTTTCAAGAATAGAAGCCCTGGAGTTTTGACATCAACAAACTTTAGAAAATTACTTAGAAACCAAAACCATATTTTGATAATATACCTAATAATCTCCAATAAAAGGATTTTTAAAAATCCCCAAAAAGATAAGAAACCAGTCGACTAACACCTCTTGGACGTTGTTCAGGATCATGTCCCGCCCAACAAACGAGAATGGATTGAAATGGATTGAAATGAATTCAGATTTTCAGAAATATGGATTCACGAATGTTAAAATGAATGCTTTTTAATCTTGAATGCATTTCTATACATTTATAGGAATTGCATGGAGCATATCTCTATATCTTTCAATCTAAAAATAATATCAGCTTTTTCTGTGCATTGTGAATAATATCTAATTCAAAATTTTGAATAGGAAATGCAGTTTTTCAATCCAATTGCATCCAATTGCATCCAATTGAATCTATTTGAATCCAATTGAATCCAATTAAATCCAAAAAAAGTATTCGCTATTTAAAATACGCATTCGGATAGAAAAAAAATTTCAATCCATTTTAATCCATTCTCGTTTACTGGGTGAATAACATTTCTCAAGATCAAGACCATTGGAGATTATTCCTCTTATTTTCATTTTTTGCACTAAAAATTCATTTTTACGTAAAGATTGTAAGATTTATCAGGGATTTCTCAAGATTTTATCTTTGGTCCTTTGTTATTTAATCTTTTTGTTGTAGACCTTTCCTTTCTGGCAGTTACTTCCATGATCTTCAACTCTCCTCCTGGTGAGAAAAGGAAGAAAGATGAACTGGTGCAAAAGTTCAGCCAAAAAGACAGGTCTAAAAATTGCACTAAAGTCACTAGATTTCTAAAGTACCGCAAACTCGCATCCATTTTGACGCAAAACGCAACCATTTCGAATTCATTTGTATACGTACTTTCCCAGGTAGCAAACATACGTCATTTTGACGTCATTTTGACGTCAAAGGCCGTTATTTTGACGTCAGCTTGCTACCAGGGTTTATTTGGAAAAATAAAGTCGTCAAATATGTAAATCAATTTTTTAATTGTAATTAGTTTATTTATGACAAAAAGAATATGTACAAATGCTTAATTTATGTATGCTTTAGTTTAATACATGGATTTATTTGTTGCAGAAGTTTAATGCATGAAAGTGCACGAAGGGAAAGTGCACGTAAGTACAGTTTAAAAGATAACCCACCCAACCATCATGCTTGGAATCGTGTACTATGTGCACTTCGGCCATTTTGACGTAACATTTCTGAAATTAATTGCGTTACTTTATAGATCTAGGCCGGAATCCATAGTCCGTTCTTATGACTATTCTACAATAAGCCATTACCTCGGATCTACAATAGTTTTAAGATTTAAGCCGTAAGAAATTGACCAATTACAGTCGAATCCGAGGGGAATAATCGACTGTGATTCGCCCATTTCTTATGGCTTAAGGCTTAAAACCCTATTGTAGATCCAGGGTTAGTCATAAACCAAAAGTTAAAAGCTAGAAATTGACGATTGTGATTGGTCAATTTCCAGCTTCTAACTTCTGATTTATGATTAATGGCTTATTGTAGAATGCATGTTAATTTGAAGCAAGGTAATCTTAAGATGCTAATACAATACGGCTCTTTGATTAGTTCATGCACTAGCTTAAGATCATCTCGAATTTTGAGCACCGTCTATGGATTCTGCCCCTAGTGACTTTAAATCGCACTGAGCAGCGAGCCACTCGGCGCCCCAGCTGAGAATTAAGCCTAAAACACAATTGCTGGATTCACATTGCATCCGATTTTCGTCGAAAACAGGATTCCGACACCGACGAGATACTATTAAAGACCGTCAACCCTGGGCAAATTTTCGGCGGTATAAAAAGGGCCCCGGAAGTAATCGAAGAACGCTGATATTATCGACAATTGATATAAATTTGCTATTATTAACATAAATATTTGACTAATACATTATTAAATTCATGATATTTTATTACATAAATGCTCTATAAATAAATATGCATATTTGTAAAGCTATAATATCCTATATATTGCCAAAAAATTACAATTTTTTTTCTCTGCAGTTATTATCTCTGTTGATAATCGAACTTTGACGATAACACTGAAATCACAATTTTAAAGAAAAATCGAGTATTGAGTTTTAAATGCACGTATGTACACGATACGTGTACGATTTACTAAACTAATAAATCATAAAATTAGTACAATATTATCAGTTTTTTTACTCTTAATCACTTCAATATTAACAAGGACGCGAACTCCCATAAGGATATCGGTCTTTAATAATATCTCGTCGGTGATTTCGATAATACGAAGCAAAATTTATCAGAATCCTGTTTTCTGATTGGTGGCAGAGCGTTTCGATGTATCAGAAATCGGATACACCGGAATACACAGTTTCTGATAGGTTGAAACTATGTTATTCCTATCGCTATCGCTATTCCCTCGCATTGTGTCTTGGACTTTACATTCACGACGATCTTTTCCCATGGTCAAAACAATGCACAGTTCTGGCAGCAGATGGCGACATGCATTCGATTCGTCAGCTGATCACGTTTGAAATGTGTTCGGATATCTACTTCGGATTACTGAATGATTTTCCTCGATATATGCGGAGGAATGATACTTAATCAGGACATTGTTATTAATATTTTGAACTAAATTAAGTAACACAATTGTGTAGGAAGAAGATACTTCAGGATGGAGCCTCAAGATATTTATTACAACAAAGCTGAATATGTTGAAACGGTTATAATCAAAGGAACTAAAGCATGCGACATTAATAAAGTTTATATACATAATTAGAAAAGAATATTATAACGTTACAGCCTCTATTGTTAAGAGATAAATGCTATAAAAACGATTTAACAAATTTAATCATTTAGTAACATCTCGTATCGATAGATATTCAGAATGTAATACGTAACCTCACTTTTTCGCTATTTTAGGCCTCCGGAAATAAAGTAAGCAGACTGACTGTATTGTGTGGCTCGCAAAATATTGTGCTACATGGAAAAGTAATAGTGCAATCTGACGCCATCATTAGAGGTGATCTGGCCAATGTCAGAACGGGTCGCTATTGTATTATTAGCAAGAATGCTGTCATCCGACCACCTTTCAAGAAATTCAGTAGGGGGTAAGTAAAGTTCTCTACTATATTAATGTATGTCATATTGATAGTTTTAATGGATACTAGTTTTAATATCGAGACTGGTAGCTTGCAAACGAAAGCGACTCTTTAAAACAATTAAAAATAAATTCTAAAGTGATAAACCCTGCTTAGGGTTGCCTTTTTTCCTCTAACAATGGGAAATCATGTGTTTGTGGGAGAACGAGCAGTCGTGAACGCAGCGTTGGTCGGTTCTTATGTTTACATAGGAAAGAATGCCATAATTGTACGTATAACTTTTATCTGCCAAATCGAGTGAGTATAAATAGTGCAATTCCTTCACAATCAATCGTACTTGTGTCGCTGTAGGGCAGGCGGTCCGTTCTGAAGGACTGTTGCTACATTGAGGACGGCGCGGTCGTACCACCAGAAACAATCGTGCCGTCCTTTACTCGTTTCGCTGGCAGTCCGGCGACTTGCGTCGAAGAGCTGCCTGAGTGCACTCTGGATCTCATGGTAGACTTCACGAAGAATTATTATGAGCACTTCTTACCAGCACGTGTTTAATCCTCATTTATTCGCGTATGTATAATAGCGTACAGTCGAAAAATTTATTCTTTTCAAATGCATACATGTTTGCGTTCTACATTTAAGATGAAATAAATATGTAATTAAATATGACATACATGATAGAAATTAGGAAATTTAAAAAAAATAAAAGATTTACGACTGAAAAGAATATAAAATTAGCCATGTGAATTTTTTTTGTAATTAATGTATATATTTTGTTATATTTTTTAATTGAATAAAGAATGTTTGAATCAATAAGAAATCGATTTTAATAAATTAAATATATGTCTGCACTTAAGAGAATGTCTCAATCTTAATGGATTTTGCTGTAAAATTATTTCCTTGGAAATCTGTGCTATATGGATAACAATCTGCTGTATATCGCTGTCACAGCTGATTTTAGCTGTGAATCATTGTAGCTTGTAAGATTTATTTATTATACTTTGTAAGCAATTAATTTTAAATTGTATATGTAAATCAATCATAAAGGAAGCTTGTTTATTAATTACATTGTATGCATTTATTTTATAAATAATCTATTCCAGTATTTTCTCTATAAAAGAGACTGTTGAAACGTTATTAAAGGAGCCGTATATGTTTGATAACTTTATGCTATATTTAATTACAACACACATTAAAATGATATTGATAAGTCACGTTTATTACTAAAGTACACAAACATCTAACAATGTAATAAGAATCTCTAATCAAGATTTTTATGAAGTTCGCAATTGGATGAAATATAGTGCAACAGAAAGCTGAGGAAAATCAGATGTCTCTGAATTTCTTTCGAAGTAACATATATTTCTGCAGGCATTTAATCAAGGCGTTCCACAATGTTGGTTTCTGCATTTGACATTTCCTTTACTCGTGTATAGTTTGCCTACGAGAAAAAATATAATAAATTGCGTTAAAATACAAGGCATGGTAACACAGTTTCTTTTAAGGGGATGAAGCAATGATCGAACTTGATCGTTGTCGAGGGTTTTTAATTTTAACAGACTTTTTAATTTTAAATTAAAAATGTCAATTCTGTTTCCTACATCATCATTTTAGTTTAGACATATCATAGCACACACACATTGCTGCGTTACACTATCACAAATGTGTGTGTATGTTTATGTATATTTTACTCTGTCTGTCTTTATCTAACAATTTGCAACATCATCTCTCTCAAGCACTTACTGCTACACGCAATTACTGCTCTGCTTATTATTCTGAATCTTCGCTAAGAATACGTATGCAAGTAAATCGCAGTTGAGTGAAAATTTTTTTTTTTTAGGCTTTTAATAATTAGTTTCTAACTCAATATTGTTTGTTTATATAATCCGACAATGGTACCACATCATTTTGTTCATACGTGCTGTAAAACTTTTACATTAAGAAAATGTCTAAATCAAGTGACAACTCTACTAACTGAAAAATGTAAACTTTTAAATCTTTTTTCCGTTTTTGGTATAAAATCAAATGTCCCATTTCCTTATTTTGCATCTATTTTAATTCTGTAAAAGGATTTTTTATTCTGTTCAGTCAATTCGGAGATATTCGTACATCTTCAATGTGTCGATAAATTTCGTCACTCCAGCATCCCCTTAAATCTTACCTCTTATGCCATAATAACTCGAACGCAAATACGATTACAGAAAAGAGTATTCCGTAGCCCATTGTGACCAGCGCGAAGTAGCATTCTGTGAAACCAATAGTGATGAAGCTAGTTTGACTCGAACATATTGGTTTTCTCGTATATAAGCGATATTCCTCGTGATACTTGAGTCCATATTCTCGCAATTTTAGGGCTCTGAAAACATAATTCCTGAGTCGAATGTTCCGAGAATTATTATATCGTGAGATAGTTATTGGTTTATGCTTATAGGAATAACGTGTCAATAAAATCTGTTTTTTAAAACTGTGATATTTTTACATTAGACTTTAAACTTCCAAGAAGTTTTATAGCGAAATTTAAAGATTAAAAAACTCCATGTCCACGTGAAAATGATTAAAGGTACTATTTACCCTGTTTTTATTATCTCTAAGTAAGGTGATTGCTTTTGTATCATAAGAAGCGGATATACGACATTTAAGAAATCGATTTCGGTCAAACCGCATTTTTCCTCCTCCAAATATGTATCTTGCGCCAGTTGGTAAATTGTACCAACTTCACCATGAAATGCGAAGAGTTCGTTTCTTATGCGACTTACACCTTCTTCTACAGACATCCAGTTAGATTTGCTTCCTTTCGGCTCGATTCGCTGTTCTAGGATTGCCTTCCTAACGGGATCTTGGAAAGACTGTCATTTCGCAAAGAACTATTTTTGTAATCTATTTTTTATCTTTTACTATGTACCTACTAATAATTTTTACGCCTTAATAAAAGTATTTGATAATAAACAATATAATTATAATTATTATATAATAAAACTTTTTATATTATTAATTTCCGTTATTTTTTATTTACCGACCTTGAAATAATATCTATTATATGGTGTATCCTGTACGCCCAGTTTTAAAGGACCGTTTAAAAGATCCGGAAGAGTTTTGATAGAATCTGCGGTAGACTGCAGCAAACTCACAATATTCGCTGTATAAGCTGCATATAAACTCATCGAAGCCAGTAATAACATAAGAGTAACAATTCGAGACGAAACTCTGTAGGGCTCATACGAATATCCTACAAGAATACAACAATTTTATAAATTTCATGTGGAACGAAATGAAAATAATTTAATCCGTCGTAAAGTATAGTAAATGTTTTGGTTTACGTATTTGCACGAGAAAGATAAAATTTGATGCCTTAGAGATTTTGAATAATATTTGAGATTCATTTTAATAATACTATATTGCAAGTCTACGGTTATATTATCGAAAATCGTTTCTCTATACCTTGCTGAGAAAATGCGCCTAAAAGAATGAGAAGATTATCGCTGACTGTTGGTTTGCTGGGATTTAGTTGATTCCAATAGGCTGCTGATTTTGTCAACCTATCGCGATAGTATTCCCATTTGATGGATAAGTAGAGCAAACAGAAGACCAAAACGAGAAATACTGCAATTGCTATCCAGACGTTTCGTTGAAAGGGCAAAGTAAATATGTTGCTCACAGTCGACAGTAAAGGTCGCCGAAATACGAAACGGAAACTATGTAGATTTGTATATAAAATATCAATAAATATAATAAAATGAATACTAACAATAAGAAGTTAAAATTAATAGCAGTTTAATCATCTTTTTTAGTCAAGTTTATATTTAAAAGCTAAATTATCAACTCTAATTTTAACTGTTTCCTGTCTCTCCCACATGTTGCCTTTAGAAAGACGTAGAAAATCAATTTAGTAAATAATCGTTTTACCGAGTATGTGTATACAATTGAAGGTGTTGCACAACACTGATACGTTTCGGCACGAGAAATGAGGGGGTACCGGCGATATCAATTTCACGCCGTTCCAACATCCCAGTCATTCCGTTCCAAGAACCATTCTCATTAGGATATCCCCAGGTGTTCGTGATTTCAAAACTTATCCTAAAGCAAAAGTATTGAATTTTGAGTCGGCGATTAACGCAATATGCTAACGAGCACTGAATACAACTGCCATATATATATATAAGTATCAAATGTGTATATTTGTACATATTTGTATACATAGCATTTGTATATCTATGTTTGCTAGGCTGTATTTTGTCAATTCGACATATCGCATCTCGTGTTCATGAAAACAATAAATAATGATGTTTTTCAATCAGAAACGATGATTTAAAAATATTAATAGCTATTATCAAAATTCTTTATTTAATATTAAAGAAAGGTGTATTGATCGGGTAATAGACAGAGATAAAAAATATAGAAACTGATATACAATACATATATATAAAAAATCGTTTCATCTTTAATTAAATATTTTTGTGCGAGTATTTATACGATTATATAGACGAGCAATGATTAAAAAACTATGTCGCAATATTTATGGATTTAGTAATAAATTTTAGACTTTAAGTAGACAATTAGATACGAGAGTACATACAGTCATGCAAATTTGTTTGTTATGATAATAAATATGTCATGCTTATTTGATTAAACGAATCGTTCCACTTATGCGTCTGATCATATAGTTCTCCGGTTCAAAACAATTTATCATTTTTTTTGACGTATGAAGGTATATCGCTTGATCACTTTACTGTAACTTCGTTAATTAACCTTGAATTCGAATTTATTACGTCGTTTGAAAGCTTGCATTCGTGATTTAATGATTGTAGAATTGGCAAGGCAGTTCGTTACAAATTGTCACCGTTGCATGACTTTATTTCAAATACATAATAAAATATTTTGACGTAGGTATGATGTCAAAGATGTAACTCACGTTGCATTCATTCGGTTCGCTAAATGCAGTATCCAAGGATAATTAGCCTTTGTGGGAGGATCTACGGTTTTATCCTTGAAGTCAGTCAAATGGTTGATGGTGTCAGGATCCGTTATCTGTATGTGTGCAATAGCAATAAATCTTGAAAGAAAATATCTCTTTTGTTTAAAGAAAATTGGTATTTAAAGTGGAGACTACATCATAGCATTCTTGAAATTTTATTATGGACGTCGCTAGTACTAGCTTTTCGTCTAATATTAGATGTTATACACACATATTACATTAGCTTGCTTACAAAATGCTTTGATGTCTCGTTAATATTTAAGTGCACTTGCACGATTATATTTCAAAGTACCACGAGACAAGATTTAAGAACCGTCTGTTGAAGATTTTTCCTTCGTGCTGAAGCCACATCGAAAGTGTTCATTTGCAAACCATTCTTGGTCGTCCAATTTCCACGATTTTCCCATATTACTCCTTTCTGTGAACTTGGTCGATATATGGATAATAATTCGAGAAAATCGCCATCGAATCTTCGCGCGAGGATCACGTCGCTATCAGGATAAATCGCCAAATCCTCGAAGATTTCCAAGACAGAGTCATCATATGTAAAAGTTAAATTGACGTTATCATCGTTGTCGATTATCGTTTTTCGATCTTGAAAAAGCAGCCACTTTGTCGGAGCGACGAACATCCTTTTCGAGTGTGCCTATCATTTCATATCAGATATCGATCAT